CTTTAAAATATGACTCAAACCATCGCAGACAGTGCCCTTTATGCCAAAAGTAGTATTTAATCTCTCGAGTAAAATGTCATGATCCATGGTATCGAATGCAGCCGAAAGGTCCAAAAGAGTAAGAAGACATACCTTTTTTTCATCAAGATATTTTAAAATATCAGTACAGACCCTGAGTAACGCTGTCTCGGTACTATGGTGTGCCTTATATGCTGACTGATAGACTTCGCTAAGAACATTTGCTTTAATATGATGTAACAGTCTATTAGACACAACTTTTTCCAAAATTTTGGATAGGAAAGAAAGATTTGAAACTGGTAAAAAAATTAGTCTTTTTCGTTAAGTCCAGCTTTTTTCAAAAGGGGTCTTACATGTGCTGTCTTAAAGCAATTTGGTACTGTGCCTGTGAGGAGAGAATCATTTACAATTTGGGTGATATGTGGAAAAAGTTCATGCAAACATTTTTTTTAAAGGCTGGTGGGCATGGGGTCTAAGGCGCAACTTTTTGATGGGCTGTCTTTTTGATTTCTTCTTCCGTTGCTGGAGTAAAATAATCGATGACTAGCCCCTTAAACTGGTTGTAATTTGGGGCAACTGCGCAAATTTTATCAAGCTCTTGCCTGATGGAGGTGATTTTTTTAAAAAAAAGTCTGAAAAGCTACTACAAAGATCTCTATCGGTGCCAGGGGGGCAATACTGTTCTGTTTTGGTTACCAATCAGTTCACTAGAGACATCAAAAAGTTCCTTACAAGTTTTAACATTTTAAAATTTTGACAAAAAGAAAGTACGCTTGGCCTTGGTAATCATTTTACTAACAGAATTTTTCATAGTAATAAATATTCCCTTATGTACTTCAAGTCGTGTTTTTCTCCATTTTCTTTCTGTTTGCCTTTTTCCTTTGTTTGCAGCCTTTATTTCTAAATTAAACCACATACCAACAGGTCGATGAGATAATTTTCGTTTTTTAACTGGAGCATGATCATCTAAAATATTCCTCATGATGATATTGAGGGTTTCTATATTAAAAGGGGAACTAATAGCAAGAGCATCACGAATGTCACATTGAAACTGGTGTAAATTTATATCGTTCAGATTCCGGGAACAAACTGTTTTTATTTCTTTCCTTGGTCTTTTGATGTTCAAGTCAACAATTAGAAGAAAATGATCCGAAATGTCTTTGTCCAGAACGTTAATGCTTTTCACACAGTTCTTTTCAATAGGGGAGATAACCCAGTCTAGGATGTGCTGACTTT